AGTATGTGAACTATTGCCATGGTGACCCGTGATGATGGAAAGGCAAAAGGTGTTCATTCTTGACCAGGGACGTGAAGCACAAGGAGACCTGCCATACAGACGGTTCTAGGTTTGAAACCACCTAGTCCCCAGATCCCAGTGGGTCTAGTGTCTTGAATAACTTTGTACATGGACAATTATTTTTTCTTTTTAAATTTAGTGGGTGTGGCTTATATTGCACTCAATATTCTGGAAATCTTTTTACATCATCATGCCGACAAAACAATACAGAAGAATTGAGCAAAACCTGGTGTCAGTGACGTCAGTATCTCCAATATCTAGAATGACGTTGCATCGATTTGTCGTCTACTTTTCAATGTTAATCTTGTGCCACGCTCTCAGGCACTTCACACAGTGTCTGCTGAAGCGTGGGTGATGCCAGTTTTGTCCCTATATTTGGTATTACATGAATCACAGTGACTCACCCAAACTCAGGTTAGCTCATCTGCCTCTGTGTCACGCTGATGTCAATTAAGCAAACACGTCCAAGAGGAGTTGTTGACAAAAAGACACCAAACATTTACAGAAGCTGCAGCACCCTTCTTGGCGTCGTGGTGAGCAGGAGATGAGATCAGAGCAAATCACAATAAGTCACTGTTTGTTTGGTTTATTTTGGGTCCTGATCTTGTGCAGCTCTAGTTTTTTTTTTTTTAAAGGCTTTAAGAACACGTCGCAGCACTGAGGCCTCAGCCGTTGTTATCATTGCCTGCATCTGTTGAAAACCAAATAATGGCGGGTGGTCACCTTTCATCATGGAATGATGGGAATGGGTTCTGTAAGGTGAAACCGTAAGGCGCAGGCACGGCTGTGACATCATCGCTTTTAAATTTGTTTTCTGTCCACTGGCCAACGGTGACATGAACCATCTGGTCTGAAGAGGGCTGGAGGATCAAGGGAGTGTACGTTGGAGTACGTGTGTGTGTGTGTGTGTGTGTGTGTGTGTGTGTGTGTAGTAGTGAATCGGTTTTATTTCGTGTGCATCTGTTTGGCCAACTTTTGTTGCCAAATATTCGTACTTTGGGTTTCAGACACTGTTGGTTTTGTGTTGTTAGGTTCTTGCAGGACAGTGGTTGGAAAGTTTTGCAAGATTCTGATTTGACTTTGTCCATTTTACCCAGAAACAGAGAGTTTGTGTTGGTCTAAAGTAGTCACACTCTTACGTAGGTTAGTCCTTACATATCCCTAATGCTGTCGTGTTGGTTGCAAAGACTTACAGTGTGAATCTCCCCATTGTGGGATGAATAAGGGACTCAATTATTATTATTTTTATATATAACATTTAACCTGGAACACTACGTGAAGCAGTTAGGTCATAGGCAACAACTAGACATTTTGGTTTCCGTTGCCTACGACATACACAAATGGACACGAGTCAATAACGCTGGCTTCAACAGGCCGTCTCCTCCACAGCATACAGTCAAGGTCAATTTATACTGAGGTAACGCCAGGTCATCGTGTCTGCAGTGTCTTTTATGAGACTTTTTAAAGATGTGTATAAATATCAATCAAACCTGGTATTTGAAGCTGTGTTGGTAACACACCGATTGAAGGTAAGTAACGACTACATTGTCGATACGTTGGTCAAGATAATCCAGTTCTAATGAGTTAGCATGTGAAACGAGGTTACAATAGTTTGTCATTTAGGTGTTTGGTCCCAGATCCGCCCTGTAACTTTTTAACTCTCTTCTAGTCTCTTTCACTAAGCTTTCGCTATTTGTGCAACCCTGCCTGCATTAAATACATGTATGACTACACACACTCTCCCAAATACACACACACACACTGCTACCCACTACCGCCACAGCTGCCCACACTCTATTTCAGTCTGGACTTCACCGTTCCAGGGACCGCAGGCCCCACCACATAGAGAGGACTGTGTTGGGCTTTCTAACCCGAGTCAGACCAGGCTATTCAGAGGGGTGGGGCGGGGAGGAGGTGGCGGTGGTGGTGGTGAGGAGGAGATGGCGGGGTGACGGTAGTGTCGGGGGTGGGTGGCTGGGGTGTAGCGCTATCTCGCAGCTGTTTTGCTAAGGACGGTGAGGTCTCCCAGCATAAATTTCACAGATATCACCTCCATCAGAGGGCCATAAAGCTGATTTATTATAAATACAGCTCTCGTGTGTTTACTGCGTGCATTCTTGGGCCTGCAACATCTTTCAAAGTGAGCACTTGCAGGTGCTCTGGCTCGGTCTCCGTGGGGCAGACTGGAGGAAATCAAGAGGGAGAAAAAAAAAACAATGGCAGAGAAACACAAGGGAGGAGAGAGAGGGGAGGTGGGATTGGGCAGGAAGACATGGCAGCCGTCGTAATGGTGATTTAACTGAGTCTAAAGTGATAAAGTTGGAAGGTGAGGTGCAGCTGAGCATCAGCTGCAGGTGATACATTCCTCCTGTTATCCAGAAAATGGATACACATGACTGAGCCCAGCTGCAGGATTTTAATAAACATTCAAGTTTAGAAAATGAATAAGTGGGGGGATCAGGTCTGGGGGACCGTTGCACCTGCAGGACTTTTATGAGGCCTGAAAGTTCTTTCTTACAAACTTTGTTATTGCCAACAATTAAACTTAGAAATCAACAGATTTTATTTTATTTTTTTATCTTTTGAGGAGTCGTAGCAGTTGTATCTTTTCTAGTGAAATATACATATGCATATATAAATATACATGTTGAACTATTTAACTTTTTTTTTTTTCTTATTTTTTGTAAATATCTTTCGGTGATTTACAGCAGTTGTTGTTTTTAAACTATTAACAATAGTAATAGTTTTTTTTTATTATTGTCTAGTGGAGACTTTTTGTATGCATGTTTCTGTAAATAATATGATCTGTATGCTGTATTGCTGTATTGCTTACACTCAGTGTTTTGCTAATTTGCCATAATCTGTTTTTTCTTTTATTGGCTTGTTTTTGGCAAATCTGTCCTATTTTGTTGTGTTGTCTACTGCTTTCAATAGTTTTTTTGCTACTTTTTAAACTTTGCTAACTCCAGCCTAAACTTTAGCAACGTTTGTTTCTTTTGTGTATTCATATATATTATTGTAGGAAACCTAATGGATTTCTATCTATATACTAAATTAGTTTATAAAGATATGGACGGCAAGTTAATTAAAAATTACAGGTGTAGCTTTAAGTCAGTCAGCAATTTGCACTTTTGAATTGTGTCCAACATAAAAAAAATAATAATTTGGAAAATCCTCGTGAACTGCTTTGGACTTAATTTTGTTCCACATAATTACAACTAACAGAAACGCTGACCAAAACAACAAATACAGAAACTAATGGCTATTTTTACAGATGTGAGCATTGGAAAATGTCCAGAAAATTAGGTCCAGACATGTTGTGAAGTTTGCTGTTCACACATGGAGAACGCAGCTGGAGATCATCTGAGTTAACTGCTCACAACAGCAGGAGAGTTTTTGGAACATTCAGGTGAGAGGTGGCATCTAAATCGAGCATGCAGGCGTGGAACACTTGCTAACTTAGCGTTTTCCTGCTGTATTATTACATGGGCTCAATCACATTTTCCAGACATTTGAAGCCAGGATCCTGCCAAGGAGGAAAAAAGTCTGGAAAATGTCCAGAGTGACATTTGTTTGTGTTGGTCTTCTTACAGAGAGATTAGTTAGTTAGAGTTAAACTGCCTTACTACATGATGTTGTTAAAGACAAGCAGGTCTGGAGATTCAGATCTGATTTATTTCATGGGGAAAGTCCAGGAACGCACTTCAAGCCCTGATTTTAAGGCAGAGCTCCATACCTCACAGAGCAACGGTTGCCCTTTTCCATGATGTCACTTTTTCTCAGGCGTCTCCATGACCTAAAGCGTGTGTTAACAATCCATATTTCTCAACCAATGAGCTGCTGTGTGAAGTCACACCAGGCTGTTCCACTCAGTGCTCCTCTAATATTTCACCCCGCTCTCATTAAATCTACTACTATTACAACACAGATGACTCTGCAGTCCATCCAGGGCTGTATGTAGAAACAAGCGACCATTCAGACTCACATTCACACCTATGGTCAGTTTGGAGTACGGATGGCTCAGTACTGGGATCAGGGTCAGTCCGATATTGATCAAAATATCAAAATCGAACATTGGAAAAGAAACAGCTGTAGCCCGTCCAATCAGATACCAAAGGCCAAATGCCCTTAACTTTGACAACATGCTGTAAACAGGGACACTGATTCTGGAAACAGACGTAGGAAGAAAATGCAAACTGCATACAGAAAGAACCAGGGTTTGAACCAGTGATCTTCTTGCTGTAAGGCAAGTTATCCAACCACTGAGTGGCCTATACTTACCAAATATACATTAACTTCGGTTACTTTTTTATTTCCACTACATACCTTTTATCTTAAAAATAAAAAGCTGTTCACCCATAATGCAACACTCACTCCTGTACTTCTATCGACTTTGGGTTGAGTTTGGATTTGGGGACTGGGTGTTATCAAACCAGAGCCTCCTGTTGGCAGACAAGAGATCTACCGCAGCGCCACTGTACCTCCATGCTAATTTCTTCAGTAAAGATTAAAAAAAAAACATGCTCCATGTTCTGGACACACCTTGTCTCTCTTAGATTTACGCCGACGCCACTCTGCTCCTGGAACAAACCATGAAATAAACAGAAAAAGACGTCAAAATTACCTACAAACTGCTACTGTTCCCCGAGGTGCAGCAGATTAAAATTTCAACTTTACACTTTCTAAGATATTACTTTGTTTTCGTATACTGGTGCTGCTGTCAGGGAGCTTGGGATGTGATGACATCAGGCGATATTTAATCTTGTTTATGAAATAAGGACTTGGCAACGGGTGATGTAGCGTGGAGGAAAATTAACAGTTCTCATCTTACAACTCCTGTTTATTTTAAACACCTAAATCCACTCACAGGGCAGCTGCATCCCTCCTCCCTCCCCCTCCCGCCCCTCCCTTAATCTGGCCACTTTATTGTTTGATTGCAGAGCAGTATGAACATGAAGATAACATCTAAAGAAAACAAAATGGAGGCCAGATGAGTGAGTACGGGAGGGAGTAGCTCCCACTGCCTCACCAGTGATTTGCTGTCTCTTGATCTCACCTCTGTTTCCGACAGTGATGCAGCAGAAGGGCCTCGTCAAGGGGGAGAGAACGGGGAAGGGAGGGAGGAAATATCCCAGGTCTGCTGCAAGGAGTTCAACAATAATTAAAAAGACTCATGGTGAGAGAGAGAGAGAGAGAGATGGGAGTCATTCCAAAAATGTGAGAGAGCTGCTTGCTTTGTGGTTACACCAGGAGACTGGCTAAAGCTAACACCAGGAACTGTGAACTCTTCCTTGATCTGCATCAGTGTGTTTGTGTCACCATCACAGCTGTTCCCTGACTGTACATCCATTCATTTAATAAAACCTTATCCCTAACATTAACTGTAAACATGCCTGACTGTAACCTTAATCTAAACCTAAACTACAATTCATAATTTCATCCTAACTTCAACCAGAGCCACGGAAATGAGTTTCTGCTTCATTAGATCAGGTTTTTGTTTTCCATTAGGACTGGGGAAAGAATCACTTTCAGCTGCTCCTGTCTTCAGGGAGCGCTGTAGTGGATAATCCACCAATGATATTTGGGCCAGCATCTAGAGAAGACAGGCTGTGCCCCCCTGTGGCTGGGTATGATGAGAAACCAAGAGTTAAGTGTCATACCAAGGACACATCGGCATGTAATAGGAAATAAATCACTGCCTTCCCAAGTCAGGGACAAAAAAATTAGTTCAGTTTTGATATGATTTAATTTGAACTAGTACAAACCAAATAAGAGCCGATCTTCCATTCACGACAACACGGCACTGAAAATACAAAGGAAATTAAAGAAGTTTAAATATTTGCGTGTAAGTCCATCACATGTGAATCCACGGTGTTTCCATCAGAGAATTTAATGAGTGCATATGGTACTAGGGACGGAGGGCAAAATTCATAATAACCTCGACCCCCCCCCCACCTCCACCCCTTCAACGTCCCTACAAAAGGTGACAAACATGAAAACAGAGGAGGGACATGTTTCTGTGCTACAACTAATGGTGCATTCAAGTTTTACATGAATGTAGGAATTCCCGCTGTTAAACGGAAACATATAAAAAAGACAGAAAAATATTTTAAAAAACCCACTCCGTTTAAAAAATATTTTTAAAAAATTAATAGAAATAAAACTAAAGAAATTAAAATATATATATATGTTTGTGTGTATCTGTTAAGATTATTATAGTAATTGTATAGTCGTTCAAAAATCCCATCTATGCACCTGGAGAATTCCAGTGGAATTCCAGGGGATGACTTTAACAGGTTTCATGTTTGGTTAAAATTTCAATGTTTGCATTGACTTCCAGATTGTCCTTTTTTTTCCTCTTTTTTTCTGGAACAACTCAGAAATAAAATGTCCAAACCTGGTGCAGTCCATGGCAAAGGGGGGCACGTGGTCACTCAGGGTCTACCTGAACGAGATGAGCATGAAATTAGCAAACTTTTTTTCATCCAGAAAAGAGAGAGAGAGGCAGTTGTTTTAGTACGAGATGAAACGAGTCTTCACGTCTGTCGAAAAGCCTCTACGTTAATTTGCCAGCGGTTCCGGTAACGGGTCCTTTTTCCGACTGTCCTCCTGAGTTTCTTCACTCCTCATCCACGGTCTGTTCCTCCTTATCCCTGCTCTTGTTATTGTTCGCAGTAAAAGCCTGGGAAGCAGCTTTGGTAAACAGTAACATTAGGCTACAATCCTTTTAGAAGCACCTGCTCTGCCATGGCGAGTGGTTAGCCTTGGTATTTATTTGCAAAGGCTTGCACACACACACACGCACACACACAAAGCAATACGTAAACAAATACCCACAGTCGTCCTACCACTGCTCCACAATCTGGCTTGTGTTTGCTTTCCGGCATTTTTCACAGGGTGGAAATATTTAGCCCTGATGAAACATGCATTTATCCGTCCTCCCTCTTTCCTTCTTCAACCACAGCCTTTAAAATCAAATAAAGGAAAGAGGCCTATTCTTTTTCTTTTTTTACCTCCACAAAAAGCCATCAAGAGGAATGTTGGTAATCCAGGTCTACTCCTCCATCAGACCTTGTTCTTCTCATTACCAGCCATGTTGTTCCTATTACGCCTCAACATCCTCTGCTCTTATCAAGATAAATGTGCTGAGATATCATTTCATGTTCCCCCGTTTTGCTTATTGCCTGTTTAAACACAGAGTACAGGTTCACTTCACTGGACTGGTTTACTGTACGGCCGTGGTGTGGGAGGTTTTTTTTTTTTTTTTTCCTCCCTTGGGTTCCCTTCCCGGGGCTGGGTTTCTGGTCGGCGGGGGTGGGGGGGGTTTTTTTTTTTTTTTTTTGCCTCCTGTCGTCCGCTCTCCTTGTTTCTCTCATTTGGTAAAAGCTTTTTCTCCGACATTCCTGCCGGCTCTGGGCAGTCTTTTCTCCTCCTTTAACATAAGGAGTTGTTTACTTGGCTCTGGTTAAAGATGGAACACGAGCTTCGGAGACTGGTGTTAGTTAAGATGACGCAGAGAAAGAATGGCAACAACATGTAGCACATAACAGATAACATAATACAGAGGATGGGCCGTGAGCTCACAAGGGGATTACAGTAATTTCTGACAGATTTTTTAGGGGGAAAAAAATGAACTTTTACCAAGCATCTCTGCAAATCCATCATCCTCTAACTGCACCCCAAACTATTCACTTCCACAGAACGCAGGGAGAGTTCTGTCCTTTGTGTTATGAAGTGTAAATACGAGCACGAGCAGCACAGAAGGGTTAAGTGTTTGCCTCCAGTCTGGTTGTATAGCTTTATTAGACACAGCTAGGAAATCTTTCCAACTGGTTCTACCTCATCTCAGTCCTCCGGCTGCTGGTTCAGGCACTTTATTTTTTAAATGAACAAAGTTCACAAACTAACTCTTACCAGAAAGAGAATCTATTTTTGACCAAGTCATCATGATACTCTGATATGAAAACTACAGTTTTTTTTTACTAAATGAAAAAACAAACCTCCAGTCTCTTGAAGTCATTCTGCTCTTTGAATGTCATGTCATCCAAAAAAAAAAAAAATCCAAAGTAGAAAAATTCCCATTATCCACAAAACCATTGATTTATCCAGTTAATTAACATTGCATACATCCACATCAACCCACCCATCTATTCATGAAATGGATAGATGCATCCAACCACCTTGGATGGTTGGATGGATCTATCCATTAGTCCACCAACCCCTGTAATTCACCATCATGGCTGGTGGTTTGGTGGATAGATGGGTTAATAGACGTATGGATGGATGGATGTATAGATGGATGGTGTAACAACTTCTTGACTGAAAAGAAGAATAAAAAAACTGAAAGGTTACCAATCAGTGTGGCTGTAGCTCAGTAGTTTAACTTGCGAACTGCATTTCGTGAGTCACAGTGTCACGAGTCTTGGTTACTATGGGAACTGTGTTTTGTTTTACCACATAGTATGAGGGAAATTACAATACAAGAGTTCTTTTTTTGGGTACTTTAATGTGAATTTTCTCTGAAGGAAATAGCATCAAGTACTAGCGTTAGTACAAGTACTTATGTGTTTCTGCCATGTTTAAAAAATAAATTAACTGCTAGAATGGAAAACCAGGGTGAGAGAGCCGTGAGAACAGTCTGTCGAAACAGAGGCCCAGGGGTTAGTTAGCATTAACAGAGGAAGTCAGTATTGTTCTATGTATACAATTATCAAACTAGAGTTAAGAGTCTGTTTGGTCATCATCTGTCGGTCACAATAACATGTTGGATCATTCAGTAACAGTAAGATAATACATAAGATCAAATCATTTGAATAATCTTGCTTGGGACGTAGAAGACTTAGAAATACAGGCAGCGAGTTTAAGCCAAAATCATGTTGTTTTTTAAATGTCCTCGTAAAATGTAATGGAAATATGGCTTTGGTTGGAAAAGGTCAGGCTAAGATTTAAAAGCAAACATTTCTGTATTACGTGCACAACTGCACAACCATGTTTTCCACTTACGGGACAGTACTACCCACACTGAGTAAATCTGCAGATTCATCCAGGAAGGACTGATTCCTGGGACAGACTGGTTTGTGGACTGATGTCCACTCATCTCCAGGAAGTGTGAACACATGACGATCGTTTTCCTCACTCGGAGGTTACGGTCGAAGCCAAATCCAACCTTTACGAAGCATGTCGGACGCAAAGAAGACCCAGCAGTGGCTGACAGTACAGTGACTCAGTGTAGAGACAGTGTTGTGGATGGCTATAATATGTGTTTTTTTATGTGGACCAACATGCTTTTGCTTTTATATGTAAAATGGAAGGTATCCAGGGAGGCCACACGATGGCAAATGTTTTTAGCGCTCGGGGTTTTTGTCTGGTTTAAGGGATTTGGTTGAATGAAAAGTATGCGGCCCAACGATGGACGGGGAAACTGCTCAGGGTGTATCCAACAGTTTTTGGTTGTAAGCTCTGATTGGCCCAAGGTCCCTCACAAACCTGAAAAAGAAAAGTAAAAGTGTAGAAAATGGCCAGTATCCAAGGAGAGTGATAACAGGAAGCTAACACCATCTTCTGCAGTTATTGCAGTTAGTCCACATTGTAGGCATGTATATTCATATAAACATTGTTAGAAACCTCATGTTCAATTTGCACCATGTCCTGACCCCTATATGCAGAGGCGGGCACTGTAATAGGCTAGAGAGAAACCCAGATTGCTTGTCCTCTATGTCAAAATGACATTTTTGTCCACATGACAACACAAAGTCCGCTGTTTATTACTGACAAAATTGTGCAGCAAAGTAACTACAATGACTGTGGTGTGTTATTGGCAAAAAAAAGTGTGTCTTCCTGCTATTCATCTTCTAGTGATTCACAATACATAATAGTAAAACTCTTCACCTCACTCCTTCAAGAACACGCTAGTATGTAGCGAAAACTACTGTTAGCTGCTGTTCAATTGTTTGTTTGCTAATGTTTTAAAAGAGCACTGTCTGCGACAAACAGCCGGTGAACTTTGACATCTGATGGACTAGTTTATACCCAGTGCTGTTGACAACAGATCGGTTTAACTAGAGAACGTGCTAAATATATTAGCATCAATGCAACAAACTGTTCCAGTGTTTTATGGGCTGTCTCACAGCTATCTTCTCTGTCAAACTAGACATTCCTCACTTTTCATTCCCTTCTAAGTTAAAGAAAATTGAGATCTGCAAACTTTTTGAGCATACCCTCGATGAAGGCTGTGACATGCCATAGAGTTGTAAATAGCAGGTGTATATAGAGCTGAAGGTGTTATTTTACATGCAAGTTGAGCAGTGTGATATGGATGAAGCCTAAGAACGATTAAGAATGGAGATTACAATAAGCCAGTGTGTGAACAAGGTCTTGTTTATTGACTTTG